AGGGAGGGAGGGAGGAAGGAAGGAAGGAAGGAAGGAAGGAAGGAAGGAAGGAAGGAGAAAAGAAAGAAAGAGTGGGCCACTTTTTGAAATGACTCAGACATAAATCTAATGGTAAATAGTTTGGGTACCTGCTAGTAGGACTTTCCAGGCTCATTGTCTCAGGGTCTTTTGCTCTAATTGTAAGGAACATGGGGCAGGACCATGCATTAGTAACTGTCTAGTGTATTTGAAAGAGTCTGAAGAGGTACAGCAAATACTTAGTGGCTGGAGAGTGGGTCTGAGGATTCCCCTTGCTTTCTTTCCTTCCTTTTTAATTAAATAGAAGATGTCAATATTTTAGTTCTTAAATTATAAAAAAAGTCAACTGATTCCCTCTTGTTGTGCAGCTATTGTCATGAAAAATTATAAAGGAAGGAAAATAAAAACTAACAGTGTCTTGGTGGTTGGCATGAAAACACCTAATGGCAAACACTTGGTATTTTGATAAAAGGATTCCATAGATTAGCTATATATTGGCCTGAACTTTCTCTTTTCCTTCCTACCTCTCTCCCTCTTTTCTTCTGTGCTGAGGGGTTGTACCCCAACCTCACTAGGCAAGCACTCAAGAGCTGAGCTATATCCCAGCCTTTTAAAAAAATTATTCTGAGACATAGTCTAAGTTGCCGTTGTTGTCCTTGGAGTTGTAATCCTGCAGCATCAGCCTCCTGAGTAGCTGGAGTTACAAGGTGTGCACCTCCACACCTGACAGTGGACTTGTTTAAGTTCGAGCCAGAAAGTATGCTCAGGAAGAGGCTCCAGGAGTGAGAGTCTCCCTAGGGTGTGGAAGGTGCCAGCAAACTAGTATGTTTTTACTGCTGGATAAGTATATTCTATATGTCAAGACCTGGTATATTCTGTGGATGTTAGGGAAATCCAGGTCTTGCTTTTTTAGGGTATATGATCTATCAGAATGTAACACTTTTTTCAATTTCTTTTTGAAGATGTGGTATTTTTATACAATGGAGTATCACTCAGCTATAAACTTGAGGCTTTTATAGGTAAATGGATGCAACTAGAGACCATAGTCGTAAGTGAAATAAATCAGACCTACATGTATGAACATTGTATTTTTTCTAGGGTGAGAAACTGAAAGAGTAAACAAGGTCCGAAAAGTACCGTAGATACTGTGAAAGGGAAAGGAACTGCTCAAAAAGAAGGAACAACTGGGATGAGAGAAAGGAGAAAGAAAAGAAAGAAGGAAGGGAATAAATACACACACACACACACACACACACACACACACACACACACACACACACATATAGCTAAGATAATTGTACTACTAATTTCTGTTGGTATATTGAAAAGGAACAGTTAATGCTTAATTTTTTTTTTTCTTTTTTACCAGTTTTGCATGCTTACATATGGTGATCAGGGCAACTGCTTTGATGATAACAGAATGTAATACTTTTTAAACATTGATTTTATGTACTTTGAGGAGCTCAAGTGTCTGCACCTCCCTCTTGTTTTCATGTAGCTCTGCTGGGTTTCCTAAATGAGGTCTCTATGGAGGTGGATTTAATGTAAGGCAGGGAAATACTTTATTTGGGAGCCTAGTTTTAGGCCTGCCACAATGGCCTTTTCTGTTTATATTCCTTATATTTGGGAGCCTAGTTTTAGGCCTGCCACAATGGCCTTTTCTGTTTATATTCCTTAAGTGTTTTTGTTTTATACTAGCTCATAAGTGATTGTTAATAGAGATGCTTAGAAAACTGTCACAGGATCACAGATTTTTAAAGCTGAGAAGCACTTTAGCCATCATCCAGTCTAACTTGCTCAATTTCTGATGAAGATACTGACCTTCCTAGGCCTTTTGTGTGTTAGAAAATCCTGCTAGAGAATGAGGGATAGGGCAGTACTGTATATTTCAACTGATGTGACCAGTAGCAGCCATTTCTTCTTTTTTTATAACTATTTTGAGCTTTGATGGTAACTAGTCTTCTGCCAGCTTGATAGTCATAATCACAAATTATATTATCTGATGTCAGTTTTACAATTTAATGAGTGTCTTCACGTTTTCTGTGATTGTTTCTTTTCATATTTGGTAAAAACTCATAGCTGACCATGAAGAGTAGCCTCATACTTGATTAAACATTTAGTGAGGCTGCTGCTTGTACATGCCAGGCACAGAGCTAGTACCAAGGCTGTGAAGGTAGCTCATAGGATTGCAGCTCTTAAGGGTGTGTTCTCTAGTATGGAAAATAGACATGGTTACTAGATAGGTACTAAAGTAATCAGGTACGAAAAGCCTGAATTAAGTCAGTGATGAGAGGTGAACAGTTTTTGAAACGTTAAAGAGGGTATTAATCTAGTATCTTGGATTTCCCAAGACCACTCTCAGGTTCAGTGATTCACAAGAAGGACTCACAGATCTCAGAAACATTTTACACTTAAAAACCACAGCTAATTATTATGGAAAGCTGCAGCTTAAAATCAGCAATGGCAAAAGACACATAGGGTGGAATCTGGAGTGATAAGCATAGGCTTGTAGTGCGTGTCCCAGTGGCATGTCAGTGAACAGGAGCATTGCCAGCCAAGAAGCTCACTCGATCCTTGGTGTCCTGGGTTTTATTGGGAGTTGGTCAGTGATGTAAAGCCTGAAATGTCCACATCTTGCCTTAGTTGCCGTCTTCAATCCTCCCAAGGTCAAACAGATACAGCCTGAACCAAAGCCCCCAGCATAAATCACATGTTAGTATAAACTCTCTGGATGGCCCAAGACCCTGAGATACACTGATTTTTGCCCCATGGGATAGTTCTAGAAACCAGTCCTGGACCAGGCCTTTCTTTGACACAAGCAGGGTATGTCATCCAAGTCTACCAAGTTTAGCCTGTACTGCACACCAAGCAAGAGGTAGCAGAGTTAGTGAAGCAAGAACAGACATTGTTACAGAACACTTCCTGAGGGAGGTATTGCCAGAGCAGCCCGTTGTTACATGGATTTTACCTTTCGCTCCTTTGTGGTTATTGAACTTTATCTTGCATTTCAGTGTTCTCAACTGTTAGATGAAAATCTAAAGGAGGAATACTTTGAAGAAATCCTGGAAGAATATGAAGATATTAGACAGGACCATTATGAGTCTCTCAAGGTAAATAACAGAAATAGATCTTTGCTTATGTGGGCAATAAAGTGATCCTGCAGTTTTTAATGTGACTTTATTTACCATTTTGAGGCAGGTAAAGGCTTGAGGTCCTTTCATAGAAATCTTATTTTCTAGTTCAAATCATATTTCTTTAGTGTTTAAATTCCCAAGAACTTCTGGCTGGATTGCAATGAATTTTATATATTCAGCCAAACATGTACTGTGTCTCTAGTAGATGTTAGATACTGTGCTAGATACCAGAGTTATGAGGCTAAGTAAAGCATGAGTTCATACCCAGCAGAGAAATAGTAAAGTGTCCAAAGACAGTTCTCACAGATCCCTGTTCTTGAGTGTATGGTGAAGGAAAACGAATGGCCCAGCCTTGGCTGTGCAGCAGGCCTGTGTCAGGTCCTGTCTGTAGGTTTTAGAACTCCATGATCATTTAAAGTTATAGGGATATTTTTTCCTGATTATCTGCCTCCTGAGCTCTTGTAGAGGGACTTAAGGAGCTGCTAGGAATGTGAAATCAGAGAACACACAGCACAAAGAAAAGATATCGTTGGTTTGTTAGGTGCTGGAGAGCCCCAGATGCTGCAAGTGGCTTTTCTCTGTCTCCTTAGGTTTGCACACAGCTTTCGGGTCCTGCGTCCTGCCTTTGGGTCCTCGGGGTGGTTGGTGGCAGGCCGGTAGCTCCAGACCTCAGATGCTGTGAAAGCACAGCATGCTCACTCCCTGTTAGGCCTGCAGAGTTGGCCTTTCAGTGACATCCATAGCTAGTGGGCACTTATCAGTCTTCCCTATCTCAAGTTATGGTGCCAGTGGAAGCATATGGGATAGAAAAGAACTGCTTTTTAGGATAAGGATTTTATTAAAAAAGAATTTTTTTTACAAAGATTCTATATTGGCTCTCCTGATCATGCTTTCATAGTGGAGGGGGAAATGCTAAGAGTTTCTGACTAAATAGCCTTTTTTCTTCAACAGGAGAGGAAATACATACCCTTAAGTCAAGCCAGAAAAAATGGTTTCCACATTGATTGGCTGTCTGAACCTCCCCCAGGTCTGTGTGGCTCTTGTCTGGAGACAGAGTGGGTGTGATCACTGCCAGTGTTGCTGAGGAGATGTTTGCAGTTACATGGCCACAAAATGAAACCCGCAGCTAGGAACTTTGAGCGGTGCATAATAATAAGTGACCTTGATAACTGACAAGCAAGTAACTAGGAATCATTTAAGTAAAACCTATGCCAGATGCTGCCCTGGGATAGGCCCACTGTAGCTCACTGAGTCCTTCAGACAGCTCTATAATGAATGTGGGTATTTTCTCCATGTTAATTTATGGAAACTGAGTCTCAGGTAATAACTTGAAAGGCTGCTAGGATTCTACCTCAGATTTGTCTTATAACCTATGCTCCTTCTCCTGCACTGCACTTGGGTGGGCTTCCTTCAGCTTGGTGCAGGTCTCAGTGGAATATATGGCATAGAAAATCCTTTGAAAGCTGGACATGGTGGTGCACGCCTGTAATACCAGCATTGGGAGGCTGAGGCAGGAGGGAAACCATGAGTTCGAAGCAAACGGGGACTACAGAATTAGTTCATGATCAGCCTGGACTACACAGTGAGACCCTGTCTCTAAAAACTAAAAAAACCTTTGCATTCACTGCTTGAAAACACTACAACAAAGCTAAAGCCCCTACTTATTCACCTTTTTATTCTCTATTCTTAGATCCTTCACTTCCTTTTCATCTCCTCTGGTTTCTTCCCTTTTGTATTTTAGCCACCTTTTTGCCTAGCATAGGTGTTCGTGAGGGAATAAAATGTGGAAGCTGTTTTGACAGGCTTAGAGAGGTATGAGATACAAATGAAAACGGAGACAGGGTGAACAGGGGATATATGAATTGAATCCACATTTCCAAAGTAATGTTTCAGATCAGCTTTCACTGCTCATGATATCTGTGTTCTTCACATGCTTGCAGAGTTGAGAGGATTAAAGTGGAAATGTAGGTGTGGACGGTTCTAATTTCACTCCTATTGCAGAATGGGTTAGTGGAGAGAGAGTACCAGAGTGAGGGCCCAGGGAGGCTATCCCAGCTTGCCTCCTGGCTTATGAGGTGATCTGGAATGTGTTGCATCCATTTCGAAGTTTCTAATGGGTGAAAAGGGGGTTATTTAATGGAAGTGTGGAAAGGTAAAAGAAGATACTACGTGAAAATCCTTAGAGAAATGTAAATCACCATGTAATCCATGCTATGATTACTTACTCTTCATCTGTTTTGTTTTTGTTTGCTTTTCAATGCAGTCTCAGGTGCCCAGGCTGATTTTGAACTCACGATCCTCCTGCTTCAGCCTCCAGATTTGCTGGAGTTATAGGCTTACTTTGCCGTGTCTAGCTCGCTCTTCATCTTTCACTGTACAATGGGACTAATAGCACGAGGACAAGTTTGTGTTTGACCATGTTCAGCAACCAAAACATACATTGCTAGAAATAGTCCTGTAAAGGCACACAGTGCCCAGTGGGGACGCTTTCCAAGTAACCATTATAACTCCAGCATGCAGTTACCATACAGTTCTGAACTGCTGCTGTCTAAGGGATGTATGGCCCCATCATATAGCCCTCAAATGTTTTGAGGACAGACTACTCTTGGGCAGCTCCAGGAAGTGGGTAGAGGAAGAAAGGCTGTAGGTGGTAGAGCCCAAGCAGCTCTTGGGCCCTGGGTTCCAAGCTGAGTCAAGAGTAGCACTCTCTTCCATCACCCCGCCTCCCTGGTGAGAGAACACTTTACTCAGGAGCCTGTTGGTAGTTTCTTTCCAGTCTCTCTCCTGAAGAAACTGTATAGGCCTCTTTGTTTTAAACAAACAAAGTGATTTAATAGAGTTTACAAAGAAAAAAGTGTCCTGTGAGGTAGGAAGATGACAAAGAACAGATGGAGATAGTCCCTGTGTACAGCGTGCGAAGGCAGAGATCCTAGGCTCGTGTTGGAGTGGCTTCTGTGGCTCTCTTCCTGCGCACTTACCTTATACTTTCCCTGTCACAGGAGGGCGAGTGTCCGGAGACTTGTGTGTTCTCCCAAAGCACCCATATTTGATAGAGCAGGAAGTCCTCTGATTCCTTAGTCACAGGGAGGGAAGAGGATCATGCCCTGGGACTTTGCTCCATCAGCCCTTGGGCTAGGATAGTACTGTGATACTGCTCTTATTACCCCAGAAAGCCTGGCAGTGCCAGTCGATGTGAGGTCTTCAGTATTATATAAATTATGATATGTTCAAATTCGTGAGGTATAAATAACATAATGAACATCTGGCTACGAAAAACAGGCTACTACCTGTTTTTTTAAAGAAACAGCAGTACATACATGGTGGTAGTCCCCTGTGTGTCTCTTCCTCCCTTGCTAAAATAATCACAGTGCTGAATTTGGGGCTTCGTTTCCATGCCTGTCCTTAAACTTCGGGCATGTGTGTCAGTGGATGACACAAATTACAGTTTCATATCTATAAAATTTACATTATAAATCCCTGAATCCCTGAATGTCTTTCTACAGGGCCCTTATTTTACATTGCTTTTATCTGTACAAGTGAAGGTTTTTTTCTTTTGGCCGGGGGTAGGGAAGGAAGGATTGAGGGAAGAGTTTCCAAGGTGGTGTAGTCAGACAGCTATATGGGAGTAATAGTCTTATTTAAGAGTCAGTGCAGAAGCCCTCCTTCTTCACAGTAATTTCAGGTTCCTCGCTTTGTAAGACAACTCCTGCGGGTGACAGGAGGGAGAGGGAGGCTGAGGGCGGGAGGCAGCAAAGCAGTGAGGAGCTGGCAAGGGGGCCTCTCAGGCCATGCCTGCACAGGAAGGCCTCGTCCCCGGCCTGGCCTCTGCTTTGACAACTCTTCTTCTTCCTGTAGTGAAGCCCACATTTATCGGGACCCGGGTCTTTGAAGACTATGACCTGCAGAAGCTGGTGCACTACATTGATTGGAAGCCTTTCTTTGATGTCTGGCAGCTCCGGGGCAAGTACCCGAATCGAGGCTTTCCCAAGATATTTAACGACAAGACAGTAGGTTAGTTCAGTAAGTCCCTCCTTCCTGCGTGATATTTGAGATGGGTTGTGACTCTGAAGGCGGGACTAGGCGATGAGCCGGCTGTGTGAATTGTGCAGGATGTAACTGCTTCCATTTTGCGTATCTGCTCAACTTTTACACAGTGGAGTCAGTTCTTATGTTGACTAAATTTTGTTTATTCATTCTTTTAATGAATATTTCTTGACATCAGTTACATGCTGCGCTCTGTACAGGGCTCTAGGGATAAACAAAAGAAGATAGTTTAATCTCTGCTGTCTAGTTCCTGGCTAGTTGGCATAGCCCATAGTATTGGGTGCATGCCAGGCTCCTGCAGACACGAGAGGAGGCACTAGAGCTCAGATAGAGATGGGATGTCAGGGTAGGATTGCTGGAGGAGGTATTTGGAATTCCTAAAGATTAAATGGCAGTGACTGAGGGCCTGGGGACATGGGGTGGTATGAAAGAAAAGGATATTCCAGGCACAGATGGAGCATGAGATGGCACAGAACACCTGTGTCTATTGGGAACTACGCGGAGTCCACTGTACCCAGCGCGTTCGGGAGAAAGACTAGGGGGATGAACTAGAGAGGTGGATGAGTCGATAAATTATTACCCCCAGTTCTCACATCTCACCTTATCCCCAAATGCATCCCAGAGACGTGGGATTGCAGTGCAAAGCCATTCACAGGGCCACAAGATGAATGGTCAGTCAGAGCAGAGTGAAACGAAAGGTGGACTCCTTAGGAATCTGAGATTAGGGCTGGGAAGAGCCTGAGAGACCAGCCCCTTGTCGGTTTCCCAGAGAGCCCCTGGGTGTTTCTGTTTGGGTGCTGAGATTTGGCAGCACACACATAGCCAGGCATATGGCAAGGGACTTCTCAGTGTGCTGCTCCTGCATCATCATAGGCAAGCGGGCAGGGGGCAAGGGGCTGGGGACTTGCTTTCATTGTGGGCAGGACAGCTCAGTGGTGCAGATGGGAAACCACGGGAGGCTGTTCCAGAGCCTCTCTGCTGCTGTGCAGCTAGTGAGGCTGCCCAGGCATGGTGCTGAAGCCTCTTGGGAGGATTTGGGGCCATGCCTCACTCCTCTCCCTGTCCTGTGCCCAGAGGTCACTGTGAAGTCAGTAGAGTTGTATGTGTCATTAAGCCAGGAATCTGGCCTTTTTCCCTCGCCCTCTGCCTGACAGTGCTGTGGGGAGCCATGGCTTTGGCTATCTGCCTTTGTTGAATGGAAACTGTTAGTAGCTTGACCTGGGGGAAGCAGACTGTGGGAGGTACACTTCGCAGGAACCACCAACCCCTGCCTGCTATGCCTTACACTGTGTCCACAGCAAAAACAACCATCTTTGAGGGGAATGGAGAGGGTGACGGGTGAGGGAAAGATGATTGAGGAGGGGCTGTGGTTTTTTGGGTGGGGAGGGGCATGATTTTAAAAGGAAGCCTTCTTTGCTGCTTATTATTGACATCTTTAAGTGGATTTATATTGTTTTCCTAATAGGTGAAGAGGCCAGAAAGGTGTATGATGATGCCCAGAATATGCTAAACATACTGACTAGTCAGAAGAAACTCCAGGCCAGAGGTGTGGTGGGATTCTGGCCTGCGCAGAGCATCCAAGACGACATTCATCTTTATGCGGAGGATGTGGTACCCCAGACCTCGGAGCCCATAGCCACTTTCTGTGGTTTGAGGCAGCAGGTATGAAAGGTGTATGAATGAACAGTAAGGGCATTGCTTGTGCTTATGGGTTTAGGCTCAAACCCAAAACAAAATGTCGTGAGAATTAAGCCCAAGCTTGATATAAATGATAGTCTTCTCTCCCTCATCCAGAATGACCAGTTAGAGGCTGAGCCCAGGCGTTTGTAAGGATGATGGAGAGAAGGCACCAGCCTGGTGTCCGATAGGGCTGTTTGGGCACCAGCAGGAGTGAGATGTTTACCGTGTATCCATGGCTGGACAAGAGCATTGTCCAGGTGCCAGATACCGATGTCAGATCTCTGTTTCTTGTTGGTCTTGTCATTTTCCAAAACAAGAGGATGCTAACTTGTTTAACAACATTGGTTTGCATCTGTGCATATTATTAAGTAAGCTGTCAAGGGCAGGACAGATGAAATAAATACTGAATGTGCTCATGTACAGGTGGTCAGGGGCCGGTTGGCAGACCGTTCTACCAAACTTCCACACAGCCCTGGTGTCGGGCAGTTTACGTTTTCATTTATAGATGAGAAATGGAGGCTGATGGAGGTGGTGCTGAGGTCTGCATCAGGGGCCGAATCCTACTGTGCACATGCCTTGCTTTTCTGCTGCACTGACTTCCTTCAGTGCGGTGAGAAGGGCAAGTGTCATATGCCTGTCCCGTTTGCTGGGACAATAAATAGTAATTGTCCCAATCAAAAAGTTAGACTGGAATTCACCAGCATCATTAATAAATTTAGTGACTTGCATAAATTGCTTTCAGTTTTTCTACTATTTTTAGTCATTTAACAGTGATAATAAAGCCCTTAATCACAATTGCAATATAATTCATAAGGACAGGTATTTTGACCATAACATCTGGAGGGATTGTCGAATTTGGAGCTTTACACAGTACCATGAAAATTAAGAAAGAAAAGCTACATCCTTATGGTGTGCACTCTGGTTCAGTGATCCTTACTGTATGCACTCAGGCTCAGACACCACAGGAAACAAAGCAGAGGGTTCTAATGTTAAGTTCCAGCCCCTCCTTACTAGAGAACCAGGAACTTTTCTTTCACAGGTAAAACTAGGGTCAACCTCTGCTGGGCCCAGTCTTTAATCCTCCAGGCCTGTGTCCTCCCTGACTCTTTTTACTTCCAGAGTAAAGTGAAGAGCCCTCATGTCTGGGCAGTCTGTGATATTGTAGATTAGGACATTTAATGCAGTGGCTTTTCAGCATTCACCTTTTAATAGCTCTGAGAAAGGAAAACCAGACCATGTACTTACATTCCCTACTTGAATAGATACTTCTAAGGATGAGCTCTCTTCCAGTATACTCTGGAGAATTCTGGCTGCAGTGCCTGTTACTTTGGTGTGGAGGACATGGTGCCTGAGGCTGCAGAGTAGGCTGAGTAGGCTCTGATCCCCGTTCCTTCTAAAGTACCATGGGGCCTGTGACCTATATATCTTGTGCTTCAGGGAACCTTTTTATTCCCCTCTGGCTTCTGTTAACAAAGAACAGTTGATGGGCAGAGTACAACTGGAAAACAGCTCTATGCACAGCTGTCCCTGAGCTCTGTAGCATTTCTGTGCACTTTTATCAGATGTTCCGTATTTGCAGCCACTTAGGATTATATGTCCAGTGTCAGCCTGTGCTTGCTGTTGTGGCTGACAAGAAGCTGTGAAGCTTATGAGTGGCTACTCATTGATTAACTGATCAGTCTAAAGCAGTGCCATAGATTCTGGAGCATCAGTTATTGATACTCATGGAGCGTGGCTATCAGCCTCTTGATCCTGCTGGGGTGAGCCTGAAGGGGTTGATCAGGTTGTCTGTGCCTCAGATTTCTTGCCTACAAAATGGAGCTGGTGGTTATCACTTATTTCACAAGGCTAAGAGAGTTAAATTAGTGATTTCTATAGAGCACAGGCATAGAGTAACCATCAGTGAATAGCAACAGTTGTAAGCTATTTACCTCCTCACCAGTTATTTCTCGGCTGTGTAAGAGAGGCGCCCAGAAGGTGGAAGCTATTATAGGCTTTGGAGGGAACCCGGAAGCAAATCCTGCTGATTCTTTGGCTTCAGCCTATCCCGGCGTCCCCTGCTGTTTCCTGCACTGTGCCTGTGGGGGGCAGCACACAGCCCATGTGATGTTGACCCCAGCAGTTTGTTGAAGTACAGCTATTGATGCAGATGGGAACTTACACTGTCTCAGTCACGTTCTTGTTGCTGAGACACAATACCTAACACCTGCAACTTAAAAGAGGAGAGGTATGCTTTGACTCATTTTTACAGTCTGTGATCCTCTCCACAGGAGGGCAGCATGACAGAGGGGCATAGCAAAGGAAGAGCCACTCATGGCATGGCGGACAGAGTGTAGGGAGGAGAGGCGAGGGAGGAGGTGTGCCTTTCCAGGCCACGCCACCAGGGACCTGCCTCCCTGGACACCAGGCACCACCTCCCACATCACATTTAGCTCTAAACTCATCAGTGGACTAATCCACTGCTGATCACTGTAGCCCTGTGATCCAGTCACTTCCCAGAAGCCCCACCTGTGAGCACATGAGCTTTGGGGGACATCTAGATATATAAAGCACAGCATACATACATTTAGGGGTCCTATTTGAACATATTACCAGGACTTAATGTTAGTCTGAACTGAAACCTGTTTTGAGGGAAAAGATTTTTTAAAAACACGATTGTTTAAGGTTCAGTTCCTAGCTACCGTAGTGCCTGTGGCATTTGGGTTATGTTTGGTCAGTGTGTGAATGAGTGAATTAACTGGCTTCTTGGTTATATATGTTATGTCATATTATATATTTTTTAAAATCTCATTTTATTTGTGTCTTAGTCCATTTTCTTTTGCTTGTAACAGAATACCCAAGGCAGGGTTATGATTGGACCCAAAATGTACCCCAAAAAGGCTCATCGTGTGGAAGGTTTAATTACTGACGGGCTTTTGGGGAGTGATTAGGTAACAAGAGCTCTGATTTCATCGATGGATTAATCATAGTTTGATGACATTATTTGGAGGTGATGGACACGGGGTGGGGCCCTGTTGAAGGGAATGGACCATGGGGTTATGAACTTGGGGACTGTGTGGCTCCCTTCCTCCAGTCTGGTTTGTTCCCTCACTCCCTGCTTCTGGTCTGTCATCTGGTAGGCAGCTTTCCTCCACCACTCCATTCTGCCTTCTTTCTGCTTGCCACAGGCCTGAAATAAATGGAACCATCTGACCATGGCCAAAATAAATGTTTCCTCTTCTAAGTGGATATTCTGAGATATTTTGTCACAACAGTGAAGAGCTTAGTAATACACCTGGTAATTTGTAAAGAAAGTATATTTTTCTGGAATATTCAAGACCAGGCACTGTGTGTGCTGCTGTGTAACATGATAGAAAAGAAAGAAGGGGAGGACAGAAGCACAGGAGAGAAAAAAGGGGTTCAACTCCTGTGATAGTTAACCTGTTCTGTAAGGAAGACATCAGTACATTGCTGAGGGCTTCGCCCTATGACCAGAACACCTAGGCTTCACCTCCCAGTATTGCCACATTGAGGGATTGAGGTTCCAACACATGAACCCAAGAGAACAGTGGACTGCACTCAAACTGTACTGCAGTTTGTTCCACAAGTATTTATTGAATCCCACTCACTGTGTCAGGCACTATTCTGAGTGCTGGGGATATAACAGTGAACAGAGCAGGGACACATTCTTGTCCCATAAGTCTCACATTCACTGAGGAGGTCAGATTGCTTTCCACTGTCTGGTGGTGCCATGTTCTGTGGCTGTTGCTTGGGTTTTAGGCCGAGAAGGACTCTGCCAGCACAGACCCTTACCACTGTCTCTCGGACTTCATTGCTCCTCTGCATTCTGGGGTCCGTGACTACATAGGCCTGTTTGCCGTCGCCTGCTTTGGGGTGGAAAAGCTGAGCAAAGCCTATGAAGATGACGGTGACGACTACAGCAGCATCATGGTCAAGGCTCTGGGGGACCGACTGGCAGAGGTGAGGTGGTGATGATGTAGGAGGGCCCTGAGACAGAGTGTAGGCAGTGGGAGCCCATGATGGTGTCAGAAAACTAATCAGCTATTAGAATCAGTATCTTTGCTTCCTGAGTCAGGAGCCACTGGCTTTAACATTTATTACCCATATTTTTAAATCATGTATCCCCAGATGGCTTTCACATATCCCTTTCCAGGGAAAGAAAAACCAGTGGTGCTTGGCTGGCTTATTACCCTTAGAATCTCCATCTCTTGCCTTATGTCTGATGTTTTCCTTTGCTTGTGGTGATGTAAAGTTTTACTGAGGACCCTTAAAATGAAAAACAGTCCTGTTTCAGAGCTCTTCATTCTAATGTAGGCATCTTCTGTAGGTTCTTCTTTATCACACATGGAATGGGCCAGCCTAGGCTGTGGGATGTCCCCACTGCAGCAAGCCTGGAGGAGGGCAGCTCTGGGCTGTGCTTGCTGCTGCTCTTTCTATAGGGGAATTGTGGACTGGCCTTGAGATCATTAAATGTAATACCTCAGCATCCATTGAGCAGCAGCAGAGTGGCCGATGAAAGTACAAACATCTGAGAATCTAGCCTGTCCCCTCATGCCAGATTTGCCCTGGTAAGTCTGGTGAGGAAGGCAGCTCCACCTGCCTTTGCTGCCTCAGGATGGAAGCCTCAGGATGCTGAGCTCCCACCTCTGCCAAGCATGCCTCTACTCTGGGTTTCAGGCCTTCGCAGAGGAGCTCCACGAGAGGGTTCGCAAAGAGCTGTGGGCCTACTGTGACAGTGAGCAGCTGGGCATCGCAGACCTGCGCAGGCTCCGGTACGAGGGCATCCGGCCAGCTCCTGGGTACCCCAGCCAGCCTGACCACACTGAGAAGCTCACCATGTGGCGACTGGCCAGGATTGAGGAGTGCACAGGTATGTGTGGGATGGCAGCACCTGTTTTGCTCTCAGAGTGGACACTTTTATCAGTGTAATGGCATCTATCACTAAAGATTATTTGTTTTTGTTTTTTGTTTTTTGTTTTTCTCTGGTACCGGGAACCGAACTCACGACCTTGCGCTTGCCAGGCAGGCGCTTTGCCGCTGAGCTAAATCCCCAGCCCCATCACTAAAGATTATTTTAAAAAGAGGCGCTTATGGTGAAATCATCTCCTGTCCCATCCTTTCTCACTTTCAGCTAATGTTTTTCTGGTATTTTACGTTATACTACTATATTGTATTTTTATATCACAATTTTGGATTTATGAGTTAAGCCATCACAGATGGAAGTGACAACAAATCATAGTTAACATGTTCCTCCTGTGATAGTTAACCTGTTCCTGTAAGGAAGACATCAGTACATTGCTGAGGGCTTGTCTCTCACTCTGGGTTTCTGTTGCTGGTGTCTGTCACCCCTCCTGCCGCCATTCCATTGGTAACACTGCCTGCCTCAGGCTGAGCTTGCTCACAGATGATGTCTGGATTGCAGGCTTACAGAGCACCCAGGCTTTCCTTCAGTGCCTTTCTCTTTTCTTCCACACTATGATGAACAGTAATGCTTTTCTTTAATCGTAATTCACCTATGTTTTGTGTGTGGTCAGATTCTCATAGTTGAAAAGGTGACATGTGCCCTGTTAAGATGAAGACCTCAGCACCCTTGGCTCAGGGCAGAATGGTCATGGTGTGTGGCCATGTTGCCCAGTGCGATGCAAGTTCTGGCCCATATTACAGGCCGTGGTTGTGACAGTCCCGTCTCAGTTCTCAGTTTTCAGTGGAATTAACTATGAACATGTTGTCAGAGCTAAGTCAGGAATCTAGATTTCAGTGAGGACCTATAGGCTGTGTTGGCTCTGGCTCAGCAGAACAGTTGACCCAGGAGCTCTGGGTGTGGGTCCCCATTTCCCATAGCCTAGGGCCACTGGCAAAGCACTCACCTAGTGGATTCTGTTTCCTTGTCCATACAGTGAGTGGCTTAGAGTGCATGGCCTGAGGGCCCAAGAGAAAGTATTGCTTTCCTCGCAGTGCTGAGGTGGGCTTGTTTTTTCACGGGGACCACTCATCTATACCACGAGGTTTATAGTCCCCAGAGCCCTTCAGATGGTCCGCTCACCTCCAGGGTTAGCTTCTGGCTGACGACGGATCTTGGGAGACTGAGGAGCAGTATAGAAGGTCTTTTCCAGTCCTGTCTGTCCTCACTGGGATACAGGAAATATGCATGTCCAGAATTTGTATTTCCATCTGGCAGGAGTTTGCTGGACTCATCTGGTCCCTGCTTTTGTGCTGTGTCATATGTTGCCCAGTGTTTGGTTTACTTTCATTCACGGGTTCCACCATTGTCCAGTTAGTACTAGCTCCACCCCTCCCTCAGGTTGGGTGTCAAGTAATGAGCATCTGTCTTGCTCTCTCTAGGCATTAGGTTAACAGAGTCCTTGGCCATGGCACCTGCCTCAGCAGTTTCAGGGCTCTACTTCTCCAACTTGAATTCCAAATATTTTGCTGTGGGGAAAATTTCCAAGGATCAGGTAAGTTTGTGGCTTATGTAGATGCCTGTCTTGTTTTATGTGGATCTGTAGAACATATTTTAAATGGATATGAAAATAAAATGAAGGGTGGGGGATGAAAAAAATAATGTCTTAATTTAATCTTGGCCAATTACCCTAAGGCTAGCCCTTCCCCACACCCGTGCACCACACAGCTAGCTTCTAAGCCGGTAAATGTCTGTCTCCGTGTTACTAAGTTGAGAAATGGAAGGCTCTCACTGTTTCTTGGCAAAACCTGTGGAAACTTGAGTTTCAAGTGTGTTAGCATTGTGGTTTAATAAGGTGCTTTTGTCTTTTGCAGATTGAGGATTATGCTTTGAGGAAGAACATGTCTGTAGCTGAGGTGGAGAAGTGGCTTGCACCTATTTTGGGATATGATACAAACTAACTTCTTTTTCCAAAAAAACTTCTCTATACTTGCTGACCTCAAGGAGATAGGAGCCAGAGTGCCTTAAAAATAACAACAAAAGACTCTCCTGTTTCTGGTTGAAGTGGCCCTACTTCTGGTTTTGGAAGACTGTCTCGTAGGTTACCATAGAAGAGCAGGCCTTCCTGTGATCCTGGAAAACAAGTGCTGCTTTTCAGGGATACTGAATGAGGAGCAGTGAGACTCCAGGGGCATCCCTGGTCCCTAGGGGACTGGGACAAAATGGCAACAGAAGTCTTTTGCATTTCAAAGCAAGTCAACTTGCTTTTTTCCATTTTTACCTTGGATCCAGGAGGGCAAGGAATCCTCTTTTTTTTCCACCTCTCCTCCTAGAAAAAAAGCCTGAAGCGCAGTTAAATAGAGAAACTTTCATAGAGACATGTGATCCTGTGGCAAAGTGTCACCATGAGAAATGGGGCATGTTAGTCTAAATGGTTCCAACAGTAGACTCTGATGGGGAAGAAAGTGTATCTGTCTCCTTTGGAAGACTTCATTTTGTAAGACTCAATTTAAGGTTTGTAGTTTCCTTTTGGCAAAAGGCATGTTCTCACTGGTTTCCTGTCAGAAATACTCGAACTGTTTGCCTTGCTGTGACCAGTACAGTTGTACTACCTGAGATTTTTAGGTCCTTCCACAGTGTCATAATCCCTCGCCCCAAGAGGGAAAAAAGGAAGTGAGGAAGTGCTTTTAGAGTCGAGCAGGCTGTGGTGACCTGTGCAGAGTTGGAGCAATGGAGGGCTTAATGCTACTCAAGTCTTGCCTTTCTGGACTGCCCCAACTCCAAACCTGTATGGGTTAGTAACAGCACAGTTGCTTTGTTCTGGATTATTTTGGGGAAAATAGTTAAGAACCTTGGCTTTGGAATCAGACTTGCATGGATTCACACTTCAGCTTTGCTGATTAAATGCTGTGTGACACAGACAAAGAACCGTCCCCATTTTACTGCTTATTCTGCTGCCTACTAAGGAGACTGGTTTGTGGGGTGGTGGTTGAGATCACTCTCTCTCTTTTGAGCTACTCTGCAAGCTCCCGCCTTCCATTCATGGTGAATTCATATAAAAAAGAGTCTCCTTTTCCCCCTTCTTTCAGGTTTACCTCTAATGAGTACTTGGGTGCCTGCCATGTGCCAGCCATTTCCTCCTGCCATCCTCTCCTTAATTTGATGAAGTTAGGTTGATGTAGGTGTGTTTGTGTGTGTGTGTGTGTGTGTGTGTGTGTGTGTGTGTGTGTGTGTTTTCCCATCTTTCCTGCCACTAATGACCTCTTTAATTGTTACTCCCAGCCAGCACTTGGGAGGCTAAGGTAGGAGGATGGCTGTGAGTTTGAGGTCAGCTTGGGTTACATAGTGAGACCCTGTCTCAAAAAACAAAAGAAAACACAAAACAATTCTTTAAAAAAATTATTAGATCCAATGACCTTTCCTTTTTGGATAGTATTGACTTCTTCAAAACTCTTCTTACCCTAGTTCCCCTTTGACATGACTCTGCATTTATGATCATTTCCATTTATGGCCTCCATTTATGATCACTTCTCAACCGTTTTCTCTAACTCTGCCTACTTAAATTCTCATGTTTCTGAGGGTCTCTCTTTGTTGCCTTGTTAGGCTGTACAGTTTCAGTGGTGATTTCATTCAGTTGGAACTTCGAGGTCCCTCCCGGAGACTCCTGTCTCATGAAGAACATAGCTGTATGTTCAGTTCCTTCAGGAGGACATGCAAGCATCTTATACCCTTTGTGCTCCATAGATGCTTCTCTTTTTAATCCCAGTGTAGTCAGTGATGAGTGGTGCTGCCACCCAAGCAGCAGACCTCAAGCTCACTGCATATTCTTTTTCTTTGGGCTGTTACAGTTTTTTAAAAAAACTTAGCACCTAAAAGCTGCACTTCTCTTACTTTAGATGGGATGGTGATGGACGCACTCAGGGAAGGCAGTGACTGAGTCCTGACTTAGAACTGAAAGATAAAGGTAGAGCAGCAAGGGAAGGACAAATGAACAGCTGCCTTTGTGTATGAATGGAATGTTGAAGGCTCTCAAGACATCAAAGTTTTCCAAATTGATCTACGTCTTCAGTGCCATTTCCAACAGAGTTTGTTAAATATAAGCAGATACTTAAGCAGCTTATGTTAAACATTAGATACTTGCTATACATGGAGTAGCAAAGGACTGAGAATAGTTGGATGCTTCTAAAACTGAAGGAGTTTAGAGGAATTGGCCTACAACATACCAAGTTCTATTATACAGAGAGTATCGTATGTGTACAGAGGTGGCTTTCTGAACAATGCAAGGAAACAGAGCGCCCAGAAACCAGGCCAAACATGTTGACCTTTGAGTCTAGACAGTGGTGATATGGAAGCTCATTTGGGACGGGAAGGAGTAGGGAAGCAATGCAAGAGCAATGTTTATTCATTTAGGAACAAGGGAAGCTGATTATTGCCTCATACCTTACTCAGCATTCATTCCAAATATGTAAAGAGCTTTAACAGAAAAGGAAAAATAGGGAATGTCTGCAGGAGAGTAAACAAAACATGCAGGAAAGAATCTCTTGAGACAGCACTAATCATAAAAAATGATAAAATATGAATATTACATCAGGCCTACCAAAACTAAGGACTTATGTTAAACAAACAATTGAAGTGAAAAGACAAGCCACAACCTGAGGAGGTATCTTTGTAATACAAATAACTGAGAAAGGATCAGTAATCAGAATATGTAGAGGATTTCTATTTAAAAATATAGAAAAGACCCAGGGCTTTCACATTGGGCTTACAGACAAATAGAAAGCATCAGTGATCAGGGAAGTATGAATTAAAATCACATTACATCTGTAAGATTTGCACAAATTGGGCCTGACAGAACCAGTTGTTAAAGAGGATATGTTGGCACTCGTAGACTGTGTGTGTGTCGCATGGTGCCACTGCTTAAGGAAACAACTGCAGTCCTGGCTTCCACGTGCAGTCACATACTCGGTAAAGCCCTGTGCTTTGATGTGTTCAGGAATGTGCAACCATGTTCATAGTAATATATTTGTTAACTGGAAAAGAATGGAATATCTGTCTACAGAAGAATGGAGTCATAAATTAGATACATTTATCCTAAAGGGATAGTATTCTGTAGTGAATGAGTTGCCCCTATACTCACTATAAGAATGAATCTCAGAAAAAAAAATGAATCTCAGAAAATACTAATGGAAAAAATGAGTTCTATGAGAGCTTGTGTGATATGGTACTATTTTTATTTAGCTCATAAAGAAAACCAAAGGATATATTGTCTAAATATGAGTATGTGATAAACTATATTATAAATGGTTTAGAAGAAAAGTAACAGAATAAGCCAAAATTTAGCTTAGTGATTACCTGTGGAGGGAAAATAAAAAGGAAGAGAGAAATACAATGGTATGTGAAAGTTCTGAGGAACATTCTAATTCTTGGGTGGGAGGGCTGTGGGTATTTACTATGTATGGTATTTTGCTTTATAACATACAGTTTTGTATATCTTAACATGATATGTTAATACATGTATTAAGTATGTTGTAAAAAATAAAGACAAAGTGAAATGATAACCCAAATCTGGTATTGTGATTTTTTTTTTTATTTTAAAGAATAAAAGAAGGATAACATAATAATAGGGGGGACTTAGCAAATTACAGACAAAATGGTAGGAAATTATCAATGGTTATTGTTTTACATATTATTATCTACAAAATAGTTTCTCAGGAAAACAAATAGACAAATAATAGTGAGTTAGAGACAAAAGAGGTAGGAGATTATCAAGAGTTGTTGTCCTATACTTCGGTATCTTCAAAGTGGCTTCTAAAGAAAATAAATAGAGCTATACATGAGTGACCTATTGAAAAATCATTAACTCTTCTCAATGGTTGTTGTAGGAAACACATAATAATAAACATACATTATGAAATAGGATAGGAACATTACAAACTTTACACAGTTATGGATAGATTAGTAGGAAAATGTCAATGGCTGCTGTAATACATGGTGGTATCTTCAAAGTGGTTTCTCAGGAAGACAGAGATATGCAAGAAGGATCTAATAAGTAGTTACAGCCTAAGGGTTGTCAAAAATAGCATATTACCTCCTCACCAGTGACTCCTTTCACTGAGGTATGATGGCTGGAAGGAAGGCCAGGATTGAAAAGAAGGACCGAGAGACTTGCACCTGTGACTAGCAACAGGCTGTTTTCTTGTTCCTCCATAGTCATGATTACCCAGGACTCCTCGATGGAGATGACGGTCTGGCCAGAGGGAGAAGGCAGACCATGCCCCAAGCCCTCTCATTCCTGTTGGACTAACTGGTAGCATGGGTCTGAGCTCTGGGGCCTCCACCTCAGAGGGCAGACCGATCTCCAGTGGTCTCCTTTGCATCCAGGGCATGGCCCATGGGGCCTCTTAGGGCAGTTCCTCTTGAGGTAGCCTGGCTTTTAACAGTGGTAGCAGATGAATGCAGTTGTCGAGTTCTTCTTGGAGCCCTGGGAAACAGACCTGGAATCTGTTTCTCTTAGTGGTGCAGCAAAAGCAGCTGCTTTTTCTCAGTCTCTTTGTTTTCTCTCCTTGGCCTCCTCCTCATCATGGCTATAGAATACTGAGGAGGCAATTCTTACTAACATCTCAAGTAAGCTATCTGGGGTGAAAGCCATTCTTTGTAGCTTTTTCTCTCCAGCTTCCCATTGCTTTGGGACCCCACAACCAGTTAGTGTCCTCTCCCCAACTGTCAGCACAGGCAGCAGGAATCCTGCTGCAGACTTCTCCAGAGCTTCACCACAGCCTGTACTGTCAGGGGAGGAATGGCTTCCAATGAGTCTCTGCAGGTATTGTGCAAGGTCCTCCTGGTTTACAGCTTGTGAGCAGCTCTCGTGACCCCAGTCCACTGGACCTCTGACTCCGTGGGCTTAGTCTGCATTCTCATGTTCTCTGAGTCCTTGTTCAGCAGCTGCTCCTCCGCTGGCTCTGGACCTTTCTGGTTCCCAATGGCAGGAGCAAGAGTGGCCCATTGTATGGCATGTATTCCCAGGGGTTGTTCAAAGTTTCAATGATTCACACACATCCGTGGGTGGGCAACTGCAGTCGGTGCATGGTGGGTATTGTGATTTTTGTATATCATGTTTGTATATGTCAAGCAGCATGTTTTGAACATTTTAGCCAAAGTGGATGGCAGGTACAGCCAAGGGTGTGGTGTGTTGGTACATTGCTAGTAACTCCCAGACAGGGGTTTCGATGGATGGTGGTACTGCTAAGAGACTGCAGGAAGGGGAAGGAATTGTGAAAACATCTGATGTGACTGGACTGAACATATGCAGGTTTGGGAGCTTATATTTTTGTTTATGGTACTGAAAATAATGCTTGGTTCATGATAGCTCTTCAGTTAATGTTGGAAGATCCTCTAATTCCATTTATACTCTACTTTCTTCAAATGTAATGTTAAAAATACCTTTGCCTGAACTCTTGCTTTTAAGTATTATTGTAGTAGTTATGAGAGCTTGTGTGATCTCTTATCCTTGAGGGTTATGCTCTGGGACCCCATGGATACCTGAAACCACCCTACATACACACAGATTGCCTTTTCTTACATATCCACAAATTGAATGCCTTTTCCATCTTAACTGAGCTCTTGTCACATACTTTGGCTGTAGCCTTTTGATATTTGAGGTGCAGTAGCAAAACTAGCATGAATATCCTTTTCACTGTTTCACAAAAGATATGGTCTTACCATAGATCTTAGCAACTTAGGCATATAATTTTTTTTCTTTCTTCAGGTTTTCAAAATTTCAGCTTTTCACTTAGAGGAAGCACTTTCGAGCTTCTTGACGGCTTATCTGATTTGCCAGCATCACTGCTCTCGCATTTTTAGGCCATTATTAAATAAATGAGGATCAATGGACAGTAAGCATTGCAGTGTTGTGCAGTTGATCTGATAGACAAGACAGTTACTAAATCGCTAAAGGATGGGCAATGTGTACAGCGTGGCTCCTGAGAGAGGGATCATTCACGTGCCTGGTAGAACAGAGTAAGGACAACACAAGATTCCAGCGTGCTATGCAGGATGGTGTGCAACTTAAAACTTATGAGTTGCTTATTTCTGGAATTTTCCCTTTAACGATTTTGGATCATAGTAGTTGACACAGACCACAGATAACTGAAACCATGAAAAAGCAAAACTTTGAGTAGGGGAGGGAGGTGGGAATACTGTAGTTTTTTTGGAGACTCACAAGACAAGCAGGCTCTTAATTCTTGCCTAAGAAAGGACCTTGGATTAAATAAGCTTGAGGTTATATGTACCATAAAAGGAAAGAAGCAAAAACCAGACACTCAAGTTTATCACAGTCTCTGTCATCACTAATGCAAAGTGACGTGGCAACTTGCTAAGTGTGAGGCTTGTAGCAGCTGAGAACTTTGAACTTTTGAAAGCCTGCTGATTCTTCCACCTAAAGAGCAACTCAAAGTGATACTGCCTTCCAGATTATCTGCAGGAATTTCAGTGCTTACTACGTTTAATTATATGACATTATTTTATTTACTTTGAACAACTTTTCAATGAAAACCTGTAAAATCCAGTTGTCTTGGTGGAAAGTGCTAAGTATCATTAATTAAAAATATTTCATCCTGATGTGATAGATTTTTTAACACTTCTGTTGAAATATGCATATGAAATTATTGAAGGACTCTAGGGGAAAATATCCTAGTATCAGAATGCTTGGTTAGTTTTAAAATAATGCAATTTAGGCTAGGCGTGGTGGTGCATGCCTGTAATCCCAGCCTTTGGGAGGCTGAGGCAGGAGGATCTTTGCAAGTTCGAGACCGGCCTGGGCTATAAAGTGAGCTCAAGGCCAGCCTGAACTGCATAGCGAGACCCTGTCTCAAAAAGACCAAAAAAGCCCAGAAAAGGTAGCCATTTGCTCCGAGACATATTTCAGTGGGTTATCTTGTACAAACCCCTTTTTGCAGTCATCAGATTTCAGGCAGTATTTAAAGGCCCCTGGGAAATCTGAAGTACATACAGCACGTGTTAATGAAAGTTTGATCACTTTTAGAGCTACTGGTTTTTGCCTGCAGAATCTTTTGTGTCCACGTCTTGAAATGCATTAAGTCTTGATTAAAGAATTAAATGTCAATCAGATCTATGCCCCTGCCAAGTTATACCATACAAGAAAAGGGTCCATTTCAGCTTAGTGTGGAAGTGAGTTTGGATTCAATTCTCTTGTAATTGGAAAATTTGTCAAAAGCTGCAGGTGGTTTAGAAACCTCATGCTTCATGCTCTGTGCATTATTTCTGATGTGTGGTCAGATGTGTGAGGAGAAAGACTATAAAATTTAACTGTTTATTAAATTGACTATCAATTGGGAAAAAGACAAAACCTTTACCCAAAAGTTGGAGATGGAAAGGCATGGTATGTATTCTACTTGATAAAGTACTCAAGAAGCAAGAGCACCCACAGTAGTTAACCCAAGAACTACAAATTCAGCAGTCCTGCCAGGCACAGGGTAGGAACTTAAGTAATTTCCTGAATGGGTAAAAGCATGTTAGAGGACCAAGCACCAGGCAGTCAGAACTCCAGAGCTTTTCCAGGTGTGTTTGGAGATCGACTACACCCATCCAACAAATGGAAACAACCACACAGAAGCAGTCCTGGTCCATCCACCAGTGACTTATCCCAAACCTACAACTTGGGGATTGCTGATACAACACTGACTCATGAGTATTGCCATATTCACTTAGCACCTTCTGCATCATCAAAGACATTAAAATTGAACATACATTATTAAGTACATTTTAACATGTGATTTACTGTATTTGAAGATTGACCACCCAAGTTTGATAAATGTGTTCCCTCTTCTTTTGCATGTAGATTAATCAAAATTCTTCCTTCCCCATTAGGCCAGAGAGCAGAGTATCTCCTGCCACAACCATCATATGGCAGAGGAGCCAAGTGTGATATTTAAATTGGAGACCAGAATTAATCAGGGTGGATGAAAAGACGCTAGAGGAGAGTGGTTACAAAATGAGCCAGTGTTGTGACAGAGGATGTCAGCTCGAGCTGGAAAGCTGGAGAGGCTGGTGCATGGCAGGGTTGAGTCATTTAGTGCCATTGGCATCGAGGGGGAAGGAAAGTGCTAATTTTGGGTGATTTGTATCAGATTAGCAGGACTATTTGACTTGAGGAAGGAGTAATTATTGGGTTTTATCAAGTTAAAAAGTCAGGTTTGGTTTTAGATGTCACATAAAGTTTTACTCAAAAAGTAGGGTTCTAGGGGATGAGGAAAATTGAGATTTCTGGATGGCGAGAACAAGGATGAATCGTGCGAAGGGTTTGGTAATAGTAGCAAACATTTGTGGGCATGTTAGGTGGAGAGGAAAGTAAAGAGAAATGGAATCACAATATCTCTGAAAATGAGTACGAGTGGAGAGAACTTCACCCAAGTATATTTCTACCCCAGCTTTTGAGGGATAAAGCATGCCCCCAGCAGGGAGGAGGAGGTGGGTGCTCCTGCCAGGGAGGCGGGTGTGTTGGTGCCAATGGCTTTGCCATCAGGAATATATTTCTATTACA